AAGATAGAAAATTTAATTCCCCTAATCCTATCCACTCCCATCCCTGGTAACAACAAATAATAATATGCTGTATATCCCTACAGATTTTATTTTCTGGGCACATAATTTAGATAAGTTTTCACAAAATTATGGTTTGGGGAGAAGCAGAGAAGGAAGCAGAAATGAGAGAAGTTATTTTCTAAAATATGCTTGATAGTGCTAAAATATGCTTTAATGAAAAAAGCACACTACAAAATATATACAGGAATTATATATATATTACAGTTCATTTTGTGAAAAACAGGACCACAAAAAATAAACTCAAAAAAATATCTAAAACAGAACACTACCCTTATCAAGGAATCATAAATCAAAATTATAAGATATCATTTTATACTTACTAGGATAGCTATATCTCCTCCCCCCCTCCCGTGGCAGGGGTATTGAGGATTGAACTCAGGGACACTCAACCACTGAGCTATATCTCCAGCCCTATTTTGTATTTTATTTAGAAACAGGGTCTCGCTGAGTTGCTAAGCACCTCAATGATGCTGAGACTGGCTTTGAATTCGCAATTCTCTTGTCTCAGCCTCCCCAGCCGCTGGGATTATAGGCGGGTGCCACAGCCACCCAGCTAGGACAGCTATAATCAAAAAAACAAAACACATGTAGGCATGGATATAGAGAAATCAGAACCTTCATACACTGCTCGTGGCAAAGTGGTACAGTCTTTTAGGAAACACTTGGCAATTCCTCAAAATGTTAAATACAACACTCCTATATCCATATCCAAGAGAAAGGAATACACATCCAAATAAAAACTTTTTCGTGAATGGTCTTAGCAGCATTATTCACAATAGTCAAAAAGTGGAAACAGTTGGTCGCAGTGGTGCACACCTTTAATCACTACTCAGGAGGCTGAGAAAATGGGATTGCAAGTTCCAGGCTAACCTCAATGACTTAGCAAGACCTTGTTTCAAAATAGGATCCAAAGAATGGAATATCAATAGGCAATAAAAAGAAATACAGTATTGCATACATACAACATGTATGAATCTTGAAAATGTGCTAACAGAAAGAAGTCAGTCACGAAAAACTATATTTCATTTATACAAAATAATCAGGGGCTGGGGTTGTATCTCAATGGCAGAGTGCTTACCTAGCATGTATGAGGCACTGAGTTCTATCCTCAGCATCATATAAAAATAAATAAAATAGGGGCTGGGGTTGTGGCTCAGTGGTAGAGCGCTTGCCTAGCACATTCCAGGCCCTGAGTTCAACCCTCAGCACCACATAAAAATGAATAAAATAAGGTATTGTGTCCAACTACAACTAATAAATAAATAGATAAGCAAATATTTTTAAATAAATAAATAAATAATGGAATAAGTCCATCTACAAGTAAAAATATATTTTAAAAATGTTCAGAATAGGCAAATCTATAGAAACAAAGAGTAGATAAATAGTTGCTTAGAGTTCAGAAAATGAAATAAAATGGAGAGTACTGTTAATGCATATGGGGTTTCTTCATGGGGTGACGAAACGTTCTAAAATTCGTTATATAATGCTTGCACAACTGTAAATACACTAAAATCTTCAAAATGTATACTTTAGGTGAACTGTACAATATAAGCACTTTGTTTTAATAAAACATATATATCATTTGTCATCTCTGGAATACTTAACATTTACTGCCAATTACAAGTGCCCAGATGTCATTTAACAAGTAACTTGAAATTTTTTATCATCTTATCTATTTGTATAATATCCAATTTTTTACTAAGGATTAAGATATATATATATTTTTTAAGATGGGGTCTCAGTATGATGCCCAGACTGGCTTTAACCTCCTAGGCTCAGGCAATCTTCCTGCCTTGGCCTCCTGAGTAGCTGGAACTACACTTGCATACCCCACAATGCACACCACCACACTAAGACCTTTTTTTTTTTTTTTTTGTAATTGGAGATAAGACTGTAGGCTTTTAAATTTATTTATTTATTTTTATATGGTGCTAAGTATCAAACCCAGTGCCTCACACATACTAGGCAAGCGCTCTACCACTGAGCTACAGCTCCAGCCCAAGACTATTATTTTTTTAAGTCAAGAGGAAAGTTATTTTCCAAAGTGCTCCATATGAAAACTTTGAACAGTATTGTCAAAAGGCTAGGGGTTGTCACTGGTATTCATTTATTCATTAAACACCTACTGTATGCTGCAGAAATTGTCCCAGAATGAGAAAAGTTCTAACTTCAAATCAATAAATCAACATCAGTTTAATACAAAGAAGACTCCCTTGGCAATTTCAAAGTTGACAACTCCCTTATCAACTACCACAAACTCCCCTCCCCTAATTTTGCACCAAAGGTTATATCCAATCATGGCAGGAAATATCAAAAAATTCTCTTTAATTAAAATAATTGGTTTTCAAATTTTAAAACTTATTTTAATATTAAAAATAACATTACACAACTCTTCATAATTGAAGGGCAGAAAAAAGTATATAAAAGTTCAATTAGTAAAAAAAGGGTAATAAAAGAGAAGGTAATTGAAAGAGGAGGAGGTATAAGAGGCATATGCTCAAGCAATGGTCTATAAGTATATTTACACTTAAACAAAGGCTAAAAAGTAAATGCTCAGCGAGAATCCTTAGGGATGGGATGGTAACTAAGAAAGAGATCTTTGGAGAAACAGCCTTACCTAAATTCTTGATTAGAAAAGCAAAACAAGGCATTTATATTTTGAAAAACTAATTTACTGTCTACCCTGAAATGCCAGTGTTACCAATCACTGCATTAAGAAACACTCCTCAAAGGAAATATGGGAATGGATTTTTTTTCAATCACTTAAAAATATCTTTAGGCTAGTGGTATTTGTCCCAGCCACTGAGGAGGATGAGGCAGAGGATAAATTAAGCCCAGGAATTCAAGGCCAACCTGAGCAATATAACAAGACCCTGTCTCAAAATAATAATAATAATATAAAAACATCTTTAGAAACAATGTAACAAATATATCTGAGGAAGAAAAACTCAAGAATTGGAAGACTACAAACACTAGCCATACTCCAGAAACCTAGTAAAACTTGTGAGTATAAGCCAGGGGAAAATAAGGCAAATTGCGAGAAGGTGCTAGAATCAAGAACTAACCCATGAAGCTTAATCTACAGAAACTCATGACCAAATGCCAGGAGAAGGTGAAGGAGAAAAGATAGCTAGTGATGCCATTAACCAAAAAATAGAAAGCAAAAGGAGAAGCTGGTTTGAAAGTTAAAAAGAACACTCAATAGAGAAAAGGTGCAAAAGCCTTAAGGGTCATTTGTAATGATCTACTATTTAATTTGATATTCACTTAAGTTTGACATTCATTCATTAAGCATTCATTTTATTACCTTTTTAGAATTTTTTTTTAGTTATACATGGACACAAAATCTTTGGTTTTTTTTTATTTTTATGTGCTGCTGAGGATTGAACCCAGTGCCTCACATGTACTAGAGAAGCGCTCTGCCACTGAGCCACAACCACAGTCCTTATTACCCTTGTTTTGTTATTTTGAGACAGCATCACTACTTGCTCAGGCTCCTCTCCAACTCAGACCACCTGCCTCAGCCTATAAAAGTAGTTGGGAATATAGGTGCAGCACATGCCACCCCATCCAGCTTACCCTTTTTTTGTGCTATCAGGGCACTTTACCACTGAGCTACATCCCAGCCCCTTTGATTTTTTTTTTTGAAACAGAGTGTCCCTAAGTTGCTGAGGCTGGTCTTGAACTTGTGATCCTTCTGCCTCAACCTCCCAAGTAGCTGGGATTGCAGGTATGTGCCACTGCATCTGTTCAGCTTATCCTTTTCTAAACTGAACATTCATATAACAAAACTTAATTAACAAGGGTAAAAAACTCAAAAACTCTGAGAATCACTTCTTTTGTAGACTTTTTATAATACACATCATAGTGAAAAAAGGAAAAAAGGAAGATAGACTCAATAGGTTTTTGACCTATTGAGTCTGCAGAAAGTACAGAATTTTCATGAGATGGAAGCTAAAGAAAAGGTTTGGAAATGATTGCATAATGATGATGTCACAGAAGTCATAGATGAAGATGAGAACTCTCAAGGTAAGACTGTGGAAGACCATGGCTTATAGCATTTATAGCAACTAAAAAGAGAGTTGTGCTCTGGCTTTTTATCTAGTGTCCTCCAGTAGAAATTTAGTAAAGCGTGCTGGGACCCTTTAAGTTGGCTTCAGATTTACCTGGGTCAATAAGATGTTTACTCCAAGAGTTAACTAAGAGTAAAATAAACCAAAGGGATAGAAGCCTTTACTAATTCCTTTCCCCTCCCCCAAAGGCACATCAAACTCAAGTGTCTCACACGCGCTAGGCAAGTGCTCTACCTTGAGCTACAACCCCAACCCTCTTTATTCATCTTGATATAATGTACACTTAAATGCCTCTCTTTTCCTGTACTATTAGCTTCTCAATAGCAGAGTTTGTGTAATTCATTTCTGTATCCCTAAATTTAAGAACAAGTAAATATTCCGTCGAACTAAGCATATGAAAGAATCAAGTAAACATGGCATCAAGAAAACCAATAGAGGAGTTTCAAAAAAATGGCTGGTCAATAGTGTCAAATGGCACAGTATTTTATGTCTACTACATGCAGGACAAAGTGTTAAGCGCTACAAATACAAAGGAAAATAAGATCCGGTACACATCCAAAGGTTTGGGGGGAAGTAGCCACATCTAAATTCTTGCTCAAGAAAGCAAACACTAAAGTCAAACCTACAAATTCCTTCATCTTATTGGCCCAGGTAAATCTGAAGCCAACTTAAAGGGTCCCAGCACGTTTTACTAAATTTCTACTGGAGGACAGTAGATAAAAAGCCATAACACATCAGCCTCCGTGACACGACAGCTAGTGGCGAGAGAAGGTCACTCCCTCCGAAGTCTCTCGACCACTCACCAGGGTTGGAGATAGCCCTACCTGTCCCTCTGTAGTCTGCAGAAGGGTAAAAGCACACACTTACCGCAAAAAGCACTGCTAACGCCGTGGCCCTAAGGGCCGGGGAGTCCTCCTCGAAGCCCCAGGCCGTGAATGGCAACCCAGGAAAGGTGGGAGCAGACAGAAAGATAAGATCCCACAACCCAACTCCCCGACTGCATAAACTAGGGTCCAAGAGCCCAACACCGCGACGCCAACTCCCACCAGCTGGAAGACCGACGACTGCCACCGAACCTTCCGCCCAATGAGGAGACGTCATCACTCGGCGTAGTCCAGCCTTTCTGGAAGAGGAAACACTTCCGTTTCCGGGGCACAGCGCCGCTTTTCTTCGGTTCATCTCTCACAAAAGATTCCGAGAGATATTACTTTGTTTCGATTGGCTTTGGTGTTAGTTTTTTTTTACCGTTAAATAATGGCGGCAGCAAAGTTAGTAGCAAAATAGGTTCTCTCGTGGCGCAATCTAGGAAAGAAAGCGAGGCCGAGAGGAACCACCTTAAGGAAAATGGACTAAACCGAAAGAGGTGCTCCGAGGAACTCCAAAACTGGGCGTGGCCTAGGGATTTCGGAGCCCTGTGAGGAGCTCCACGAGGGTGGGGTCAGAAGTCGGGACTCTAGCTGCGCGTGCGCAGTTCGAACGGACTCCTGCGCTTCTAGCTACGGAGACATGGAATTTTGCGCTGCTCGCCGAGCTATACTTCAACTGCTGGGTACGGTGGCTCCCGCTGACCGCCCAGCGCTGCTGCAGTGGATGCGAACTACACGTAAGCGACCAGAGCCAGAGGCAGGCAGCTGGGGCAAGAATATACTGAGGGAGCTGACCTTTGGAGATTTAGAAGGAGTGAAACCAAAAACCTTCCCTGGGGTCGCTGTGCATATCTCTGCTTTTCTACGGGGTAGTTTGACGGCAGCACACCTTAGACGTGAGGCCGCTCAGAGGACCACGTGAGATGGGATAGAAAAAGATGAACTGGGCTCTAGGGAGGTGGTGTGTGATTTCCTCCCAGACTTCAGAGATCCAGTGCCAGAGCTCTTTGTGCCTAACCCCTTTTCTGGAAGAAAAAAAAGTCGGGGGTGGGCTTTAACCCTTCTCATTACTCTCACAAATGGATATTACCTGGAAAAGCACTTTATGAAGAGGTTTTTTCAAGGTAGAACTTGAAAATATTACCCTGTAGGTAAAATCACCTATGTTTTCTCGATTGTTAACAGCAGTCTTTTGGGATTTGTGGGGGAAAGTCTGACTTTAAACTCCATAATTTAAAATTAAAAAATGATAAAAGGCACAAGTTAGGACCGAGGAAATATGGTAATTAGATCTGGTTATTGAAAAATTAGATCTTTCTATTCCAGCAAAGTGATACCTAGTGAAAATACAAAAATTGTATAGTCAAACCATACCTCTCTACCTTCTACATTGATTTCCATGGTTATTTTTGTTCAGACTTATTTGAAATATTCTTGTTTCCTGTTGACTCCTAGTTTTAGATTTTCAACCTTGATCTCTTCCAAAAACTCTTGTTTTTGTGATGTTGGAGTCAGTCGCCAGGTATAGGTATTATAATAATTATTATTAAATATTTTTGGAGATCATTTTAAACAAGATACCAAACCAAAGTTAACTTGAACATCTGAGAGAGCTATTTACTTGGAAACTCTAGAAAACTAGAGATAGAGCTTCATATTTATATACACATATAAGATTATCTCAAGATAGGAATTCCAAAATATGCTTAGTCTTCTGTTACTTCATTTAAATCCTTTCTTATAGTGGGCTGCTGTGTCTGCATTCCTGTAATCCCAGTCACTGGGATCAGGGGTTCCAGGCTAGCATGGGCAACATAACCAGATCCTGTCTCAAAAAAAGACAATGTGTGTGTATAATATCAACTTCCATCTAGCTTTTCTACATTCATCAGTTCAAGGTAATTTAATCTAAAAACATTGAATGCCTACAGAAATGCCTATATTGCCTTGCCTGGCAGTTGCAAAATTATTGCAATATCCTTCCTTTCAAGAACATTATGGAGCCATTTGTAAATTAAATCTCTTAACTTTAGAGGCATCAATTGAGACTCCATATTTCAAAGTCAGAATGACTTAAAAGCATGTTTAGATGTTAATTTTGTAAACAAGAAGTCTCAGTTTTCAAAGTGTCACAACTTAAAATGAAAGAGTGGTATATTTTTTAAATAAACCTAAAAAAAGTAGTATATACCTTTTTATTGTGGCAAAATACAACATTTGCCATTTTAATCATTTTTTAGTGTACAGTTCAATGGCATTAAGTATATTCACATTGTTGCATATATCACCATCATCCATTTCATTTTTCATCTGTCTGAACTGAAACTCTTGGTGTACTTTTTTTATCAGGTGGTCTATATGTAGTGCTAAAGATTTTCCCAAATGTTTCTTGTTTTTCTAATTAGATTTTTTTTGTTCAGGAAAAAAGAACTTTTTTTTTTCTGGCATTGTCACTTCACATAATATCTTATTTGTATATTTACTTAAACCTTTTTAAAATATATTTTTATAGTAAATGAATACAATACCTTTATTTTATTTTTATGTGGTGCTGAGGATCAAACCCAGTGTCTCACATGTGCTAGGCAAGCGTTCTACCAACTGAGCTATAACCCCAGCCTTTTACTTAAACCTTTAATCATTATGATTCCTGGACTTTTATACTATTTAATGAAATAGCAAGAGATAATAATAGTTATTATTATGAGTATGACTTTGGTTTTGAGATTCCTATGTGTTAAAACTGGATGACAGGCCTGGAGTTGTTGCTCAGTGGTAGAGCACCTGCCTAGCACATGTGAGATACAGATACTGGGTTCAATCCTCAGCACCATATAAAAATAAATGTATTGTGTCAAAAAACACATGCATCATTTTAAAAAACTAGATGACATCAAAATACTGCTAATAAGTAAAATCAGAATAATTTCAAATACACAAAAGAAGGAATAAAATTTGTGGTCTCTGTAAGGATAGCTGGATTATCACACTAAGACTTTAGGTGATTTATAATCATGCTGGTGGAATCAGACCTAGTCCTGGGAAAAGCCAAGCATTTGGCAATTTCTGACATAAGTTGAAAATTTAGGAGAAATGCAGGTAGGAGCCTACATTTTGTTTTAACATAACTTAGGCTAAATAAAGGTCTAGGAAATATGGAGCACCAATTTGGAAGGATGAACTAACTTTGAGGGGCAAAGAAGGCAAATAGACGTCCCTCCTCCAAATATAAAGCAGTTAAAAAGACAGCAATACCTCAGCTGATTCATTACAGAGCATCTCTTCCCTTCTATTTCTTGGTGTAAAGTGCTCCCAGTCTAGATTTCGAAGTGTAAGAAAGTGGAATGGGGTATACCTGAGCGGTAGAGTTCTTGCCTAGCACGCACAAGACCCCTGGGTTCTAGCCCCAGCACCTCAAAAAAACAATAACAAGTCAGTATATATTGTGTAGGAAAATGAGTGCAATCCATTAAGTAAAGAAAGCTGAAAGCCTGAACTGCATGTGGGGGGGGTGGAATATGAATGTGTGTGTAAGCATCAGAATAGTGATTTAATAACAAATGTTATTCTGAAGCCTCTGAAGTTTTCCTGGCTATGCAAATATAAATAGGGAAATCCAGCCAATAGCTTAATACAGTTCTACTTAGGATCAAGTTACAAAGGAGAAAATTCGAGTTTGCTCTAAGGAAATTAACAGAATCATCAAGGAAATATTTAAATGCTAAAGAAAATAATTGTTGAATAGAAGTTCATAGACACTTTCCTGTATACTTTATTTAAATACATCTTCATTGAGCAGAACTGATCATGTTGCTGAGCAGCAGTTACAGAGTTGTTAGAGGTTCTTTGAAATTTCCACAATTTTAAAAGGTAGTCTAGGATCTAGTTATATCTGTTAGCATACTGTTCCAATTTTATATAGTATTAGTATTGAGCTGTCCTTGTAACTTCATATTTTCTGACCATTAAAATCACATGAACTTGTGAAAAGTTCTCAACTATATGAGATAATATTAAAAATAGCAAAATCTAGAAAAGTGTACTGAGCATAAATTTTCCATCAAATAAAAACACAATTGTACTTTTCTCAAAATCTCCCTTATTATATATTTAAATTGGTTATGATATGTAAAAAGAATAATATAGCTTGAGCAAGTGGGTTTATCCCAGGAATGCCCTGTTGTTTAGACATTAGAAAATCAGTTAGTGTGATTCACCATAACTTAATAGAGGTTCTAGCCAGTATTTCATGGGGGATAAAATAGGGGAAGCATCCCAATTAGAAAGTAAGAAGTAAAACTGTCTATTCACACACAACTTGATTATCTACTTAGAGCTCCTAGAGGATATGCAAAAAGACTAGTACTAAATCACAGGATACAAGCATATTTTATAGTTTCATTATATAGTCTTTCACATTTTTTTCTCAGATTTACCCTGATAATGCTATTACAAATGGTATCTTGATTTTTTTTCAATTTTTTATTGCTGTGTGTATATATATATTTTTTAATAGATATGGCACACATCTCTGACCCCAGCTACTTGAGAGACAGAGGCACAAGGTATCACAAGTTTGAGGTCAGCCTGAACAACTGAGCAAGACACTCTCTCATAAAATGTAAAGGACTGAGAATGTAGCGCAGAGGTAGAATTCCCCTCACTTTGGCCCTTAGTTCCACAAGAAAATGAGGTTTAAACAAGATTGGTTTAAAGTAAATATGTGAGGTATTTTGTAGTGGGGAGAAACTGAAATCAAGGATCTATATATGCGTTAGTAACGGTATTTAAGTGGGACATATTGACTTCTTATGAGGTTGTTGAAGTGGAAATGAAGAGGAAATAGGATTCAAAATTAAAAGTGGTAGGACTTAATACCTAACTAGATATAAAAACTTAATTTGATTCATAGATTGTCATCTTTCCCCAGGTATTTAATTCAAATATAAGTAGGGACCAGGCACAGTGGCACACCTATAATCCCAACAACTCGGGAGCCTGAGGCAGAAGGATCTGAGTTCAAAGCCAGCCCAACAACTTAGCAAGACCCTAAGCAACTTAACAAGACCCTGTCTCAAAATTTTAAAAAGGGCTGAGGATGTGACTCAATGGTTTAAGTCCCCCCCTAGGTCCAATCCCCAGTCCCCCTCCCCCCAAAAAAGAATATATTTATAATATAAGTGTGTGTATAGGGGAGTTTAAATAATTAATTTTGCACTTATTTTTCTCTTCCCTTCCCACCTACATATATGAGAAAAACTTTACTGTTCTTGCATAGCTGATTCACACCATCCTTTAATCTTTCTCCAGATTACATACTGTTTCCACATATTCTGCAATAGTTCTTATACATGTTAAAAGATGGTCAACTTCACTAATTTAATTTACTTAATAAAGTAAATTAAAACAACGAGGTTTGTTTTATGATAATATTCAATGCTGTGATGATCTGAAGAAACAATCTTATTCACATCTGTTAGAGTAAATTTAAATAATCTTTTAGGCAAGAAATTTGCAAATATGTAGCAAAAGCCATTGCAATGTTTTAAGTACTTTCCAGTCGAAAATTTGTAGTAAGAAAATAATCCTAGAGATGTAAGCAGATGATGTACCAAAACGTTAGTGGCAGTGTTCCTAATTTTTCACAGTATAACTATAAACTGTCAAGGCACAGGAGTGAATAGTTAGAGACTATAAAAATTTCCCTTCAAGATCTGAAAGTACCTACTGACTATTA